AGTGGAGCAGCCTCCTTCACGGGGATGGAAACGACAGGGGTGCTCCGTGCCGCACGGGAGGCGCATCCCGAGGCCGCGGCGTGCAGCGGGGAGAGCGCGCTGGGCGCACAGGATCCGTGCGTGTGACGGTCAGAACAGGGACCCTCCGAGGGAGCCACACTGGTTGGCGGCGTCAGGAGAAAAGTGTGGGCGATCGGAGGGGGTGGCTCAAGGGCTCTGTGGACTCTTGCGCTTGAGATGTAGACGTTTTCCAATAGGCGCCGAACAACAAACACACGAAACCATGGGCCAGGGGCTCTGTTTTCCTAAAGCAGTGAGGCTCCTGGAGCGAGTTCCGCCTTGACACCCTCAGAGCATCCCGTCGTCATGGCTACGAGACCATCCTCAGGTCGGACCTAGGGGTGCGCTCATCCACTCGGCAGTGACGGACTGAGCGGCGGGCGGCGGCGAGCGCTCACCGGGGAGCAGCCAGCAAGTCCACCTGGGGACCCGCCTCCCATCATCTCTTAGGAACGCAACAGAAGGTGAACAGTGTGTGTGAGGTCATCGAAGGTGAACAGGCACTGAGCCGCTGGTTCAAGTTGTGAGCCTGTCTTCAGGGTTCACCAGGGGAGGGGCAGCCGGGGTGGGGTTAGCCTCCTGGAAGCCGAAGGGATTTTTGTCTCAGAAAGTATTTTTCCCCACCTTGCCTTTTTACATTATACACACCTGTTTTTTACATTATTATTATTATTATTATTATTATTTAATCCCCCCCCCCCCCCGAGGATATTTTCCCATTGATTGTAGAGAGAGTGGAAGAGAAGGAAAGACAGAGAGAAGCATCGATGTGAGAGAGACACATCGATGGGTTGCCTCCTGCACATGCCCCAACCAGGGCCTGGGCTGGGGAGGAGCCTGCAACTGAGGTACGTGCCCTTGACCAGCATCGAACCTGGGACCCTTTGGTCCGCAGGCCGACGCTCTATCCAAATTGGCTAGGGTGACACATACGTATTTTTATTAGGCTGAAAATATTTTCAGTGTTAACAGCCTCTTACTAAATTTTCCAGGTTCTTTGGAGATGGCATAGAATTCACTATCAAAGATCTTCGTGAATATTTAATTAGAGACTAGTTAGCTATTTTTTTAAAGGATAAAAATGAACACACAACTGGTAAAGAGAATACAAAACTGAAAAATATTGTGGTAAAAGGGAAGGCATATATGAGAGTATTTAAGTGAGGATTGCACAGGAATGCATGGGGGCCCAAGAGAAATGGTCTATATTTCACGGTTTAACCTGGTCCCAGACCCTGTGGGCCTGGGAGGATCTGAGTGACAGGTGGGAGTGAGGCTGGAGAATAGATTAAATGAGGGGGCAGGTGCATGGGTTCGAGGGGTAGGAACTGGGGTCTGGAACGACAGGCAGGCGCTGGGAACGTGGTTCTGGTAGCGCTGGGAGTCAGGAAGGGACGGGGGCTTTGAACAGATGGTTGGCTACTGTGATCCGCCTCCCGGGTATGAACAATATTTCCCTGTGTTACTGATCCAAATGCTTTTTATTTTCCAAACTGGTATGCAAAGCAGAAAGGAGAATATGGTTTCTGAGAGCCAAGGTCGTGAAACGACAGAGGGAGGACGGCTCCCTTTCGACCCTTCTGTCTGAAGGTCCATGCGGTGCCCACAGCGCAGGGAGCGGGATCCAGGCGTTCACAGGTGTCGTTAGCTCCGACCAGCGACCTCACCCGGAAGCACGGGATGCCTTTGAAAGCTCAGGGTTACTCTAGACCTGATCGGACCGATTTCTTCTAATCGTCCGCGAAGCATAATAATCCAGGGCCAGCCTGCGATGGAGCAACACTGATTTCTAAACACGCCGCCGTCCAACGAGTTACGCAACGTGCTGGCTCTGAAGGACTGTGCTCAGTCTGGTATGTCCCGGCTTTGAAGATGCAGCAATTTCTTCTCATAAAAGAGACGCTAGGTGTGTAAGGGACACCCTGACTTGGCGACAAGGCAGGCGAGACACTTTGATGAGCACGCGGCCCCTTCGGAGGTTGGCGTTGTGTCAACGAGGGGAGACACGATGACACAAAACAGGTGGCATGTGACTCAGCACCTGCTGGCTCAGGTATATAAGCTCCCTCCCCACTCGCTGACACTCACTCTCAGGATCTCGTCTTGAACAGAAACACACTCCCCCTGGCACCATGAGCTACTATGGCAGCTACTACGGAGGCCGCGGCTACGGCTGGGGCGGCTTCGGGGGCCTGGGCTGTGGCTATGGCTCCGGCTGGGGCTGGGGAGGCCTTGGGGGCCTGGGCTGTGGCTATGGCTACAGAAGCTATGGCTGTGGCTGCTGGCGCCCGTCCTGCTGCGGGGGATACGGATACTCTGGCTTCTACTGAAATCCTGCCCAGCAGCTCAGCCTCTGAACTTACAAGGGACTTCCTCCCACGTTTGATCTAAGTAACTGGACAGCAAACCTCATGCTGGGTTATTGGCACAAAAGTTTTTAGCTCCTCAGAATTATGGGTAGATTTTCAACTATGCCTGCATCTCCATCATATTACCAGGATCCTCTATGTTTGCTGTCAGAACTGATTGAACTATCTGTTCACCTTCCAATAAAGCATTGAATTTGAAAATAAAGTATGGTTGTTGTTTTGTTCATGAAACGAAATTATGAGGAAGTGGTTCTGGGCACATCTACTCCACTGTCCAAGGGAGAAGCGACCTTCTTGGCTAACAATCTTTCCTTTCATTCACATACCTCACAAGCATGCAGAGAGGCAGGAAATAGATATAAAGATTAATAAGTCTACACTGAAATGAAAAAATTTTTTTGGAAAATCCAGTGATTTAAATCTTTAAATCTGTTCATTTAATTCATAAAACATTCAGACTTAAGTCAACAAAAAATAGCAATGAATATTGAACATATCTACCCATTTATTTATCAACATATGGATTTTACTTAACTAACATTTCCCAATTCAATCCTTCAGTTCATTCAAAATTGCTTTATGTTTTTAATTTTTCTTTTAATTTCAGAGAGCAAGGAGGAGGGAGAGGGAGATAGAAGCATCATGGATGAGAGAGAATCATTCATTGATTGGTTGTCTCCTGCATGCCCCCCTCTGGTGATTGAGCCTGCAACCTGGGCATGTGCCCTTGACCAGAATCAAACTCAGGACCCTTCAGTCCAAGACTGATCTTCTATCCACTGAGCCAAACAGGCAAAGGAAAACTCAAAACATTTTTAACTAAACGTGTCTGTTCCCTTTCCTCTGCTCTCACTATATCTCACTTCATCCTTCTTCATCACCATCACCACATTGAGGATTTATCTTCAATCCAATCAGGGAAAGAAACAACAAGACATAATCGTGAACCAATTATTATTGAGCTGAAGCTGAAACCAAAGAGCTTTCTTATAAATCTAAATTTTAGTAAAATCTGAATTAATCCTGATAAAAATGGGGCAACAGGGGGCATATGTTTTTCATGAAATTAAAAAAAACAACGGTTGGACTAAAACAGTGGTCGCCAAACTTTCGGACCTCAACAACCAAAGAGGTCCATGAACCACCAGTTGGCGACCACTGGACTGAAATACCAATGTTTTCCTAGAATCCAATAATATAGTCAGAGAATATTATAAAATGAAGATATTTTGTTTAAATTGGGTATAATTTGGTCAAATATGTGTGCTTGAGTCTATGCTGTTAGATACTCCATACAGCTGTGCAGGTGGAATTTAATCTTTCAGTCACTCAGCAACTATGTTTTGTTTGAAAATGAATTAATACATTCAGATGGGAGGGAAATGTATTTTCAAAAGTGTTATATATGCTCGGCTTGCATGCCTCACTGGTTGAGCATTGACCTATGAACCAGGAGGTCACGGTTCAGTTTGATTCCTGGTCAGGGCACACGCCTGATTGCAGGTTTGATCCCCAATGTGGGGTGTGCAGGAGGCAGCCAATCAATGATTTTCCTCTCATTATAAATGTTTCTATCTCTCTCTCAATCTCCCTTCCTCTCTGAAATCAATAAAAGCAAATAAATAAAAAAAGAACATAAGGAAAAACACAGGCTAAAAGTACAAACCTGAGTGGAGGGATGAAGTACTGATGGGAAAACCGGATCAGAGTGGAAGCCCTGGCTGGTGTGAGCGTGTGGGACTGAGCGGGGAATGACGACTTCAGGAGCGGCCGGAAGAGACAGAGGATGTGTGGGGACCAGGAAGACCAGAGAGAGAAAATAAAGAGCAACTGCAAAGCAGAAGACACTGTCACCTATGTTTCCGGATGATCCGTTTCTATTTGAAAAAGAGGGTGATGTTTACAGAGAACTTTGTGACCAGGTGCTCAGCCTGGGGGACACGTGTGAGATTGTTCTGTGGTCAGAGCCTCAGCTTCTGAAATGCATTTCACTGTGTGGAGAAGCCAAAAGGGAATTTTGCAAGAAGATACATAAGATTAACATGGTTTTCTCATGTGCGTGTTCAACTAGAGAGAAATACGTTTGACAATTAAGGAATTTCATAGGTGTAAGGATCTTACATTGGATCACTGTATTTGAACTGAGATGAAAGTAAGATAGAAAAATCCAAAGAATGATATGCAAATTAAGATGACACAATATTTAATGAGAACACGCCAACAAATATGACGAATGCCACGCGCTTAGGAATGAAGAATTATATTTAGTGAGTTTTTATTCTGTGACGTGGAAGGCAGATATGCTTCTACTTAGAAACAAAGACTATCATAGGTTCCAGGGTGTTCTAACCAGGCAGCTGTGCCGGCTACATATTTTAATAAATATGAGCATCTCTGGCGTCAGCAAACAGATTAACAAGCTGTTTCAGGGCCATGAATCTTTGGGAATGACACCCAGGAATGGTCACGTGATTCAGCACCTGCTGGCTCAGGTATATAAGCTCCCTCCCCACTCGCTGACACTCACTCTCAGGACCTCGTCTTGAACAGAAACACACTCCCCCTGACACCATGTGCTACTATGGCAGCTACTACGGAGGCCGCGGCTACGGCTGGGGCGGCTTCGGGGGCCTGGGCTGTGGCTATGGCTCCGGCTGGGGCTGGGGAGGCCTTGGGGGCCTGGGCTGTGGCTATGGCTACAGAAGCTATGGCTGTGGCTGCTGGCGTCCGTCCTGCTGCGGGGGATACGGATACTCTGGCTTCTACTGAAATCCTGCCCAGCAGCTCAGCCTCTGAACTTACAAGGGACTTCCTTCCACGTTTGATCTAAGTAACCGGACAGCAAACCTCATGCTGGGTTAAGTGCACAAAAGCCTTTAGCTCCTCAGGATTATGGGTAGATTTTCAACGGTGCCTGCATCTCCCCTATAAGCCCAGGATCCTCTACGTTTGCTGTCAGAACTGATTAGACTGTCTGTTCACCTTCCAATAAAGCACTGAATTTGAAAATAAAGTTTGGTTGTTGGTTTGTTCATGAAACGCAATTATGAGGAAGTGGTTCTGGGCACATCTACTCCACTGTCCAAGGGGAAGCGACCTTCTTGGCTAACAATCTTCCTTTTCGTTCACATACCTCACCAGCATTCAGAGAGGGAGGAAATAGATAGAAAGATTAATAACTCTACACCAAAATGAAAAAAAAAGTTGTGAAAGGTCTAGTGATTTAAATATTTCAATCTTTTGATTTTATTCATAAAATATTCAGACTTGTGAACTGCAAATAGCAATGAATATTTAACATACCTATCTCTTTATTTATCAACATATAGATTTTACTTAACTCAACTCACATTACTCAATTCAATCATTGCGTTCATTCAAAACTAGTTTATGTTTTTAATTTTTCTTTAATTTCAGACATGAGGAGGAGGGAGAGGGATAGAATCATTAAGGATGAGAGAGAATCATTCATTGATTGGTTGCCTCCTCCATCCCCCCATCTGGTGATTGAGCCTGCAACCTGGGCATGTGCCCTTGGCCAGAATCGAACTCAGGACCGTTCAGTCCACAGGCTGATGCTCTATCCACTGAGCAAAACCGGCCAGGGCAACTCAAAACATTTTTAACTCAATGTCTCTGCTCCCTTTCCTTTGCTCTCACTGTATCTCACTGGCATCCGTCTTCACCACCATCACCACACTGAGGAATTAGCTTCAATCCAATCAGGGAAAGAAACAACAAGACATAATATGAACCAATTATTATTTAGCTGAACCTGAAACTAAAGAGCTTCTTAAAAATTTAAATTTCAGGAAAATCTGAATTTCTCCTGATAGAAAAGGGCAACCGGGGCATAAATTTTTGATGAAATAAGAAAACGAATGGACTGAATTACCGATGTTTTCACAGAATCAAATAAATCACCAGAGAATAATATAAGGTGAAGATATTTTGTTTAATTTGTGTAATTTGGTCCAATATGTGTGCTTGAGTCTATACTGTTAGATACTCCCTACAGCTCTGCAGCGGAATTTAATCTTTCAGTCATTCAGCAAATATGTTCTGTTTGAAAAACAGTGAATACATTTAGATGGCAGGGAAATGTGTTATTAAAAATGTTACTTATGCCCGGCTTGCTTGCCTCAGTGCTTGAGCATCGACCTATGAACCAGGAGGTCATGGTTCAGTTTGATTCCTGGTAGGGCACATGCCCGGGTTGCAGGCTTGATCCCCAGTGTGGGGTGGGCAGGAGTCAGCCGATCAATGATTGTTCTTTATCATTGATGTTTCTATCTATCTCTCCCTCTCCCTTGCTCTCTGAAATCAATAAAAAGAAATTTTTTAGAAAAGAATATAAGGAGAGAAAATCAGTCTAAAATTACAAACCTGGGTGGAGGGATGAAGTACTGATGGGAAAACCGGATCAGAGTGGAAGCCCTGGCTGGTGTGAGCGTGTGGGACTGAGCGGGGAATGACGACTTCAGGAGCGGCCGGAAGAGACAGAGGATGTGTGGGGACCAGGAAGAACAGGGAGAGAAAATAAAGAGCAACTGCAAAGCAGAAGACACCGTCACCTATGTTTCCGGATGATCCGTTTCTATGTGAAAAAGAGGGTGATGGTTACAGAGAACTTTGTGACCAGGTGCTCAGCCTGGGGGGACACGTGTGAGATTGTTCTGTGGTCAGAGCCTCAGCTTCTGAAATGCATTTCACTGTGTGGAGAAGCCAAAAGGGAATTTTGCAAGAAGATACATAAGATTAACATGGTTTTCTCATGTGCGTGTTCAACTAGAGAGAAATACGTTTGACAATTAAGGAATTTCATAGGTGTAAGGATCTTACATTGGATCACTGTATTTGAACTGAGATGAAAGTAAGATAGAAAAATCCAAAGAATGATATGCAAATTAAGATGACACAATATTTAATGAGAACACGCCAACAAATATGACGAATGCCACGCGCTTAGGAATGAAGAATTATATTTAGTGAGTTTTTATTCTGTGACGTGGAAGGCAGATATGCTTCTACTTAGAAACAAAGACTGTCATGGGTTCCAGGGGCTCTAACCAGGCAGCTGTGCTGGCTACAAATTTTAATAAATATGAGCATCTCTGGCGTCAGCAACCAGATTAATGAGCTGCCTCAGGGCCATGAATCTTTGGGAATGAAACCCAGGAATGGTCACGTGACTCAGCACCTGCTGGCTCAGGTATATAAGCTCCCTCCCCACTCGCTGACACTCACTCTCAGGACCTCGTCTTGAACAGAAACACACTCCCCCTGACACCATGAGCTACTATGGCAGCTACTACGGAGGCCGTGGCTACGGCTGGGGCGGCTTCGGCGGCCTGGGCTGTGGCTATGGCTCCGGCTGGGGCTGGGGAGGCCTTGGGGGCCTGGGCTGTGGCTATGGTTACAGAAGCTATGGCTGTGGCTGCTGGCCGCCGTCCTGCTGCGGGGGATACGGATACTCTGGCTTCTACTGAAATCCTGCCCAGCAGCTCAGCATCTGAACGTACAAGGGACTTCCTTCCACGTTTGATCTAAGTAACCGGACAGCAAACCTCATGCTGGGTTATTGGCACAAAAGCCTTTAGCTCCTCAGGATTATGGGTAGATTTTCAACTGTGCCTGCATCTCCCTCATAGACCAGGATCCTCTACGTTTGCTGTCAGAACTGATTGTACTGTCTGTTAACTTTCCAATAAAGCATTGAACTTGAAAATAAAGTTTGGTTGTTGGTTTGTTCATGAAACGCATTATGAGGATGTGGTTCTGGGCACGTCTATTCCACTGTCCAAGGGAGAAGCCATCTTCTTGGCTAACAATCTTTCTTTTCTTCACACTCCTCACAAGCATGCAGAGGGGCAGGAAATAGATGTAAAGATTAATAAGTCTACACCAAAATGAAAATAAAAGTTTTCAAATGGTCAGCTATTTAAACCTTTTAATCTCTTGATTTTATTCATAAAGTATTCAGACTTAAGAGACACACTCAGGGGGCAGACTCAGTGAGCACCAAAGCCCCACTGAAGCAAGTCCTGCCCCATAAAGGTGTCTCCTGCACAGCAGCTCTTCCATTGTAGACACAGCTGGTCCTCAGCCAATTGGCCTGGAGGTCAATTTCTCCCAGTGACACCAGCAGCAATTAAGGCTTAACTACAACAAGACTGTGCGCACAACCCACAAAGGGGTGCACCAAGAGGGTACACCTCTGGTAATTAGGGAGGCTGAGCCACTGGGCCCTATAGGACACCTAACACAGAAAACCACTCTATCAACACAGGGAAGCAGCCTAAATGCGGAGACAAAGAAACAGGTCACAAATGAAAGAAATGGAGGAAAGCAAACTAGTGGATATAGAGTTCAAAACCACGGTTATATGGTTACTCAAGAATCTTCTAGAAACCTCCAAGGAATATAGTGAGACCCTGAAGAATATGGAAAAGGACCAACTAGAAATTAAGCATACACTGACTGAAATAAAGAATATTATACAGAGATCCAACAGCAGACTAAAGGACCCCAAGAATCAAGTCAAAGATTTGAAATACGAAGAAACAAAAAACACCCAACTGGAAAAGAAAAAAGAAAAAAGAATTCAATAATATGAAGATAGTGCAAGGAGCTTCTGGGACAACTTCAAATGTACCAACATCCAAATTATGGGGGTGCCAGAAGAAGAGAGAGAGCAAGATATTGAAAACCTATTTGAAGAAATAATGACAGAAAACTTTCCCCACCTGGAGAAAGAAATAGACTTACAAGTCCAGGAAGTGCAGAGAACCCCAAACAAAAGGAATCCAAAGAAGACCACACCAAGACACATCATAATTAAAATGCCAAGAGCAAAAGACAAAGAGAGAATCTTAAAAGCAGTAAGAGAAAAACAGTCAGTTACCTACAAGGGAGTACCCATACGACTGTCAGCTGATTTCTCAACAGAAACTATGCAGGCCAGAAGGGAGTGGCAAGAAATATTCAAAGTGATGAATAGCAAGAACCTACAACCAAGATTACTTTATCCAGCAAAGCTATCATTCAGAATTGAAGGTCAGATAAAGAGCTTCACAGATAAGGAAAAGCTAAAGGAGTTCATCACCACCAAACCAGTATTATATGAAATGCTGAAAGGTATCCTTTAAGAAGAGGAAGAAGAAGAAAAGGGTAAAGATAAAAATTATGAACAACAAATATGCATCTATCAACAAGTGAATCTAAAAACCAAGTGAATAAAAAATCTGATGAACAGAATAAACTGGTGAATAGAATAGAATCAGCGGCATAGAAAGGGAGTGGACTGACAATTCTCAGGGGGAAGGGGGTGTGGGGGTGGGTAAGAGACTGGAAAAAAATCATACACCTATGGATGAGGACAGTGGGGGAGGGTTAGGGCCTGGGGTGGGGTGGGAACCCGGTGGAGGGGAGCTATGGGGGGGAAAAAAGAGGGACATCTGTAATAACCTGAAGAATAAAGATTTATTTTTTAAAAAAGAATCTTAAATTGGATCCATGCATTTGAACTGAGATGAAAGTAAGATAGGAAAATCCAAAGAATGATATGCAAATTAAGATGACACATTTAATGAGAACACGCCAACCAATATGACGAATGCCACGCGCTTAGGATGGAGAACTGTGTTTAGTGAGGTTTTATTTTGTGACGTGGAAGGCAGATATGCTTCTACTTAGAAACAAAGAATGTCATGGCTCCAGGGGCTCTAACCAGGCAGCTGTGCCGGCTCCACATTTTACTAAATATGAGCATCTCTGGCGTCAGCAACCAGATTAACAAGCTGCCTCAGGGCCATGAATCTTTGGGAATGAAACCCAGGAATGGTCACGTGATTCAGCACCTGCTGGCTCAGGTATATAAGCTCCCTCCCCACTCGCTGACACTCACTCTCAGGACCTCGTCTTGAACAGAAACACACTCCCCCTGACACCATGTGCTACTACGGCAGCTACTACGGAGGCCGCGGCTACGGCTGGGGCGGCTTCGGGGGCCTGGGCTGTGGCTATGGCTCCGGCTGGGGCTGGGGAGGCCTTGGGGGCCTGGGCTGTGGCTATGGCTCCGGCTGGGGCTGGGGAGGCCTTGGGGGCCTGGGCTATGGCTGGGGAGGCCTTGGGGGCCTGGGCTATGGCTGGGGAGGCCTTGGGGGCCTGGGCTATGGCTCTGGCTGGGGGGGCTATGGATACTCTGGCTTCTACTAAACTTCTGCCTTAGAACCAGCGGCTGGTACCAGGCGTGAATTGGCCAAAACCTTTCCTCTGCCAGTGGCTGAGTGACCCTAGGCCTGCGGTCAAGAGAAATCTCCGAATGTCAGAGAACGTATTCGTTATGAGCGTGTCTGCACCAGGCCAGGTATGCGCAGCTTCGGGAACTCCCAATGATTTAGGCTGAATACCCAATAAATCATCGAATTTGAAATGGAAAATGTGGTGTTTTTGGTTCATTTATCTCCATTATGTGTACAAACTTTCATGTAAATTTTACAATTTGTTGATTATACAGAGTGGCCAGATTATTATGGCCACCCATCAGTACTTCATTGACACTTCCAAAATACTGAATATTGAAAACTTCCTAAGCAAATACTCTCAAGGTTTTATTATTTGCATAACTAATTCACTTCACTGTACTGATGGGGTGGTCATCATAATCTTGCCATTCAGTGTAAATTCAATACACACATGGAGTTGTAAACCTATACACATTATAAAAACACAATTATATTACATGTTTCATATTTTATCTATTTTAATTTCTTAATGGAGTTCAAAATTCGGGACAAATTCTCTACCTTTTTCAAATATTCGTTATTGTCTTCTTATCCATATAATTTTATAGAAACGAGTGGTGGTGGATCTTCCCATTGCTAGTTGCTAGACACTGTCTCATTGAAACTGTAATCTTAGCAACTCTCGTTCCACAAATCTTAGGAGCCATATCTATGCACTTTCTGCGAAGGTCAGCTCTGTTTTCCTCTGAATCTTTGGATCATATAGAACCTTCCTTTGTTCATCATTTCCTGCTTCCATCTCATGTGTGAAGCGGATAAGAAGACTGTCCTAGAAGCTGTTGATAAACTGGACCATGCAATGTGACCTTGGGTTACTCAACTCGCTCTCTCCCCCCTCTCCCCCCCCCCCCCCGTCCTAGGAGGAGGATCCTCCTCCTCCTCCTCCTCCTCCTCCTCCTCCTCCTCGTTGTGTTGAGGAGCTGAGTGAGGAGAATGTGCATCTGGAGGCGTCATCATGGAGCAAAGCAGTGTGTGGCCTCAAGTGACTCATCGCACCATTCATTACATTTTAAAAACACATATTTTTATTGATTTCAGACAGGAAGGGGGCGGGGGAGAGAGAAAGCAACATCCATGATGAGAGAATCACTGACCAGCTGCCTCCTGCATGCCTCCTACTGGGGACCGAGCCTGCAACCTGAGCATGTGCCCCGACTGGGAATCGAACCCAGGACCCTTCAGTCCACAAGCTGACGCTCTACTCACTGAGCCAAACTGGGTAGGGCATTCAATAAATTTTTAAACGTCATATAAATATGAGTTTCAGGGATAAATAGCATCCCTTTAAAAAATGACCACTTTATTAGCAATATAAGAGACAAGAAATAGGACACGTGAAATATCTACAAAAATATTGTTTTCCTAAAGCTGAAGACTACGCTCCGGCGGTGCTAGGCCCCAGTCCTGTTGGTGTAAGCCGGGCGGATGCCATAAAAGAAGCAGGAGATGGAATCACAGGATTAAACCGAAAGGACAGGAAACCCTGCCTCCGTGGCCCAGGTTGCTGCAGGCGGGGCTCAGCTCGGTGGTGGCGCAGGACGGGGTCAGACCGGAGACCTGAGCCCCTGTCTCCGACTGCACGACCCTGAGCCGCAGGCCTTTCCCCCTGGAATGTGGTCAGACAACCGCTGTGCACGTCCGGGGATGGACATGACAGTGAGTGAGCAGCGCTGGGTCACGGAGGCCAGTCCTCTGCTCTTCTAACACTTTTACCACTGAATAGCGAGACTTTCCTGTCAACCTCTACTGTGTCTGCGTTTGAATGAAACTAAATCCTTTTCTTATTAAAAATTTTTAATGTTAACGCCAACGCGGACGTCCCCATTTCCCCGCCTCCGCCTGAATAACGAGTCATGTGAAAACCCCACTCCACACGGGTCAAGTCTGTGGTGAGGGGGGAGGTTTGACTTGGGGCCGTGAAGTGACGACGCGTATACAGATGATGCGTCATGGAAATGTACGCCCCAAACCTGTATGATTTCATTAACCGATGTCACCCCAATAAACTTAACTAAAAACTCAACTCTTGGTAAAAACGACAAACAGAGGAAGCCCAAACATACCAGACAAAACAGCCATCACACACCCTTTTCATTCAGGGCTCCCAGGGGCTGCAGGTCTCGTCCCCGTGGGGCGAGCAGGGTTACAGACCAAGCAACCACGGGAGGACCGCCTACGCAGTTGGATCAAGAGGAATAGGATTTG